TACAGCCAGGGAGGCTGGAAGAACTAGTGAGGCTGGAAAAGCCGACAGCTTGAGAGGCCACCAGTACAAGTGCAGGACAGCACTACGGAGAGGACCAGTGGGAATGGAAGCCAGGAGGCTATACTCATGTTTTGTTGCAAGCAGTGCATGGATGCTGTAGTGAACAAAACCTGGGTTGGTTTATCCAATGTGGATGTATGACCACTCATTTAAAAAAAGTGGGCTACTAGGTCTTTAAAAAGAAGATATTGCGAGTGGACTGCATTACTAAACGGCTCACCATATGTGCTAATATCCCCAAACATCACAGAGGCCATAATTTTACTTTATGTATTATTTCTGAATTGCATTAAAGGAGAACTATGAGGTGAGTGCGTTTCACTCACCTCATAGTTCTAGCCAACCAGTGACAATGAGACTGTCACAGGTCGGCTCAGTAGATCGGGAGGTGAGCGAACATATACCGGCGTTCACTCACCTCTCGATCCTGTCACGGCTCTCTGCCGTGACAGGGGAGGGGCTGGATTCCCCCCTCCCTGATCCGCCAGCGCTGACTGGCGTAACGGACGGGGGAGGGGGCGGTTACAGCTGGCTCTGCCTCTAGATAGGCAGAGCCAGCTGTCACTCACGCAGATGGGCGGATCTCGACATCGATGTCGGGATCCGCTCCGGCTGCAGCTTCTCAGTATACCGCGAGCTGTCGCGGTATACTGAGCTTAGGGTAACGGGAGGACGCTAGTTTGTGTCCTCCCATTACCCTAAGGAGAACTATGGGGAAAAGCCCTGACCCCATAGTTCTCCTTTAAGGGAGCTCTACCCACACTAAGACACCTATGTATGGCAGTCACTAGAAACTTCCCTGTGCATAGAAACAATATGACAAAGTTCTGAGAAACGTTAGCGATGACATAGTCACTTACACATTACATCATCACTTCAGCACTAGGTCTGATGAGCTGAAAGTAAACTTCAGATGCTTGCTTGCTCCATTCAATGCTCCCACTGTGTAATGGGTAGCTTCCTGCATAATGTTATGCCCGGGTATTAAGCTTTATATGTTTCAGGTTAATGAATGAACACTAACATACCACTGCTTCTAACGTTCAACAGAAATTTAAATTATTTCAGTTTTAATGATATTACTCTGCATTTTGTGATACATCTATTGCCTTCTAATTAAACAAAACAGGGCAGACAATGTAAACTACTGAGCAGCAGTTTATAAGATATATATCAGCTCTCAGCATTGGGATATGAAAATGTTATCACTCTGCTGCCAAGTTCTGGGAAAAGTCCAGTGTTAAAATTGTTTTATCATGAGATGTAAACGTATTGATGAATGTTATTGCCATAAAAGGATAAAACATGTTGAAAATAGGTTCTTCAAATCTAATCTACTTTGTTTCTAAAAAGTAGGAATGCAGACACCAATCCACCACTGGTTTGTACATTGAAAACATTGTGTTAAAATTTCCAGATTCCATGAAGGGAGCAAATACAGAATATTACGAGGTTTTATTTATTCATTTAAATATTAAAATTTTACTTATTTAAGAAAGATAAGAGTACGGTGGTAAAGAGAATTTAGCAGACATCCATATGTAACAAGAAAGTTCTCTGTACCCCTGAGGAAGTAAAAAAATAAGCTTTGGGTCAGGGAGAAATAAGGGGTAAAACACAGAGAAAGGGGAGGGGAGATAAAGGGAATGAGGAGAGGCAATTTCTAGGTGTATGATTGGGTTAAGAAGGAGGTAGGCGGTGACCTATACCCTTCGGGGATAGGGTAGTGCATCAGCAATTTTTAGGGGCTTCTACATAAAGGTATTCTTGTGCTAGCAAGGCATTCAGCTTGTTCCTACAGGTATATTTACAAGAACTCATTGATTATGGTCTCCCATGTGACCACGGTGTAGATATTGAATAGTGCATCCCAGAGCCACCTAATAGAGTGTCAATCCTAACCGATGTGCCCCTCTGCCCTAGGGGCAGAGGGGCAATATCAATGGGAAGACCCTATGTAAATTGTAGGGACATTTACACCAATGCGATAGTATTTTTAGACTGTTATTGTACTGCAGTGGCTCTAATAAGTTTAAGTGTAATAACAAAGGCCTTCAAGATTTCATCTTTCATGAACTCTAATCTCTAATTCCTATTCCCGCTTAGCAATAAAAAAAGGGGTTGTGACCCAACCATTCGGTCAATTAAAGCCCATGTAGCAAAAATATAGTGTGGGATGGGACGGTGGGGCATTGGCAGAGAAATGTGAGGTCTGTACAAGTTCTGCACATGGGGTCTGTTTGTCTAAGAGACAGATAACAATCGCATTGTGCGAAGTAATGAAGCTAATTTTCTGAGATCGAGACCTTTGCCTGAAGGAGGTCATGTAAACGATTAATACCTAGAGTGGTACAGGTCTGATAGATAGGTGATGGCCTATCGTAATGCCGCCAGGGATAAGTTGTATTATGAGTTCCAGGGAAAAAAAGAGTCATGTAGGAGGATATATGATAGGTATGAATAAGTGAGTCTTCGGTGTATAGCAAAGGAGATAGGCAAAATGGAAGTGTGTGAAGTTTGGGGCGCTCACTTGGTACAGGCCACAGGACAGAGAAAGGCAGCACAGATGAGATTTGTTTCTCAGTCATTATTGTTGTTTCCATTGTAATGTCAATGTACAAAATGAGTACGTAAACCAGCTTTTTATATTATAGCTCCAGATTTGGTAAGCCTGCTCCCCCAGCATTTTTACCTCATATCAAGATATTATACTCCAACCTGGGTCCTTGCCTGGCCTATATATAGTGGAACAGTACCACATGCATTTGTTAAAAGGAAGATCAAGGTGTGCATACGTGAGCTGTATGAAACAAGTAAAGAAATCTCAGGAGCATATACATTTTAAAGATAGCCATTAGAGAAAATAATTTTCTTAGAGTACATCACAGGACACAGGGAGTTAAATTAACTGCTGAGTTATGCAGCTACCTCCTGGTCATTGGAAAATCAATAACCTCTCCCACTCCCAGCCTGCTTTAGTTTTGTAGCAAGCAGTACAGAGTGGATCACAAAATACAGAGGTGGGGGATCCTGTGTCCCGTGATGCACACAAAGAAAAGGATTTTACAGGTAAGACACAAATCCTGTTTTCTTGATTGTTTATTACAGAACAGGCCCAGGAAATACAACCCTAACAGGGCACAGTAAAAAAAAGAACTAATAAAAAGGAGGCATACCTGAATCACAGGGCATCACCACAACATGCCTAGCAGAAGTGATGGCTACAAGGAAGGCCACTTTGCGAGTGATTAGGGGAAGAGGGAAATCTCTGATTGGTTCAAAGGGCAGTTATTCAACAGCCAAGAGAACCAGACTGAGGTACCACAAAGTAACCCGAAGTGGAAACAAGGGAAACAACATGGGTTGTCCTCTGCAAGAAGATCTTCACTATGGAGTGAAAGGCAAGTTGACTCTAGAAGAGAATCACAAACACAGATATCCGACCTTTGATGGTACTCAAGGCCAACCACTGGTCTAAGCCAGATTGGGGGACAGATAAAATGTTTCCCATGCAGTACTTCCTAGGATAAAACTTCCTGGCCTTGCACGAAGCAAAATAAGCCTTTCAGGTGCAATGGTAGAGCTTGTGGGAGTTCAACTTTCTACTATTAAAGAGCATAGAGGTTAAAGCATCTGAAGGACCACTGTTCCTCAAGGCCTGGACTTTAACAGTCATGCCGTTAAAGACAGCGGTGGAGAAGCTGGGTGGAATACTGGTCCTTGTGACAGCAAGTTTGGATTGGAAGTGCCCACATAGTTTGTAGAATATGCTATTCATATTTTACAGTGATAATAGAGTGCTTCCCCTTTTTTTAATATTTTAGATTTAGTATAGTTTATCAGGATCTTAATTCTGTTCAACAGACTTGTAATTTCTAGTGGCTGCGAGTAGTGTCCAGGTTGCCTCTCTTGTGGTCCCCCACCGCCTGGTGGTGTTTCTATCTAGGATGTATATTGAGGGTATTATTATTGCTTTCATAGAGCTAAATATCTATGCTCTACCTGTTTTTATGTTTCTACAATAAAATTATTTTTCATTTTTGATTACAGTAGGTATATTTTTGGTTGTGGTGTATGCACCTTTAAAACTCAAATCTTTGCTTCTTTTTGTATCATTCTATGATATATTTAACAGTGCTTAGACAGCTTTAATCCATCATAATGATTGTGCTATTATACTGGATTTCACATTCAGTACAACATGGACAACATTTAAAATCATTGTGCTGTTCCTGGTAAAACAAAGGGAGGTTCACAAATAGAAGTCCTTTTGCTGCCACTGTAGTAAGAAGATGTAGAAACAACTCTTTTTTTAATCATTCATAGTAAATACCCCGTTTCAATATGGGTTTTTGGGGTCTTACACTGGAGCTTTGAGTCAGTACAATATATATATTCATATTGAAAATACCAAAAATTATCTATGACAGACAGTGCAGGTGAAGATGCCAAAGAGCAATTTAGGATGGTGCAAAGGAGCAGAGATGATGGCTGCTCCCATTTCTAGGAGGTTTCTCTTTGGGCTGCTTGGAGTGAATAATGAGCAGCTTAGTACAGAGACTTCCTCCCTGTATCTCATTTGGAGACTAGGAGAGGAGCATTAGGGACTGTTTCAAGATGAAAGACCTTTAAACAGATTACAAGACATGTGCAGGACAGGAAGCTGCAAACTAAGCTTTTCTGTAAAATATATAGACATTTTTATTTAGTAGTTTGCTACAAATCATTTTTGGCACAGTCTATTGCCTAAAATAAAAAAGTTATCTTTTAAAGGAGCTAAGTAAGTACTCCCATTGACAACAGCAGAACAGGCTAAAAAAAAAATATAGGTGCCAGTTGATATACTTTTACACTCACTGACCTGAAATTTGTCCAACACGTCAATATTCAATACATAGAAATGTTAGCATTTATGTAAACATGTTTAAATGTGTACTTACCAAATATTTAAACCTAAAAAATTTAACCAAGAGAAACTATAATCTCCACCCAGAAAAATTCCGATGTAGGCGATGGATACATTCTAAAAAAAAAGGAGGAAAATGTAGAAGTAAAATCAGCAAGACAATGACACTTTAAACCTTCTGGACTGCACCAAATTAACTGGCATACCTGCCATAGAGGAAAATGGAAGGTTACCATTGATGACCTCTCTGAATAGGCTTGCATGCATTAAATGAAGTCAGAACGAAGCCACTGGCATAGTAATTCTGGTTCAGTGACTAAAACAGTATTGAGTCAGATTATCAGCATGAACAACCTGCAACTAACATTTTCAAAAGGAGGTCAGCAATGGCAGGTTCCATTTTTTATGTCAGGGTTCTTTAAATAGTTCAGTAGACACAAGCATTTATATTTCAGTGTTATATCTGGGTAGCAATGGGGGAAAGTAAATCTGAGCAAAGACTTGCTTTTATGAGTGTTCATGGATAAAAAATGGAAAGTGACATGCAGCCAACAGGAGGGATCTGACATGCAGCCAATTGGAGGGGTCTGCAATTCAATGCAAGTAGCCATTTCCTACATTTAGCATTGCAAATTGCATCTGTAACTTCACAGACACTTATCTGTACAACATTATTAAAATTAGGGATGCCCCGATACCAGTATCCATCTCAGTGCCGATACCGAGTATTTGGGGCGAGTACGAGTACTCGCCCAAATCCTCCGATGCCCAGCCCGATACTTCCTATATCAGGAAGCCGGGCAGCGCGTCATTATACGCTGCCAGTTTCCTGATTGGCCGGGAAGCGGCTCCATGCTCTCTCGTCACTTGTGATGAGAGAGCATGGAGCCGACTTCCCGGCCAATCAAGAAGCCAGGCAACGTGTAATGATGCACTGCCCGGCTTCCTGATTGGTCGGGAAGCTGGCCAATCAGGAAGCCTGGCGCCGTGTAATGACGCAACGCCCGGCATTCTGATTGGCCAGGAAGCCAGCTTCATGCTTCCTCCTCATCTCACGACGAGGGAGCATGGAGCCGGCCTCCCAGCCAATTTAGAGAGCAGGGCTTCCATGATTGGCCAGCAAGCCAGCTCTGGCTGGGTACCGGAGGAAGGCCGCTCCTGGCTGGAGAGGCCCCGGGAGAGACAGGCTGGACATGCCGAGGTGAGAGGGGACAGAGATCCGCAGCATAACAAGCCATAGAGCCGAGCACTGCAGAGACATGCTGGATCACATGATTATTATTATTATGGGGATTCCTATGGGACAGCTTTCTTGTTAATCGGGAAGCCGGGTGGTGAGTCTTTGCACGCTGCCCGGCTAATCAGGAAGCCAGGTGGTGAGTCATTACACGCCACCTGGCTTCCTGAATGGGACTTTCGGTACTCGGAAAAAAATTATCAGTACTCGGTACCAAAATATCGGTATCGGTGCATCCCTAATTAAAATGTATTTTGTGTTGAACCTGTGCACCTGACAGTATGTGAAGTAGACAGCTAAAAACCAAATGAACTGTATCTTGCAGTTGAAGAACTACATCTGAGCAGCTCCCACTTGTTCTTGGTCTATTTGTGTTTGGGCAAGCTCAGCATCAGTCATCCTAACAAATAAAACCATTTCTAACAGTTTAAGGTTTCCATAAACTGTGTTTAGCATTTCATTTAGGGTTGCATCCAGGACTCCTATCTGGAGGTTAGGTCAGGAATGCACAACTAAATGGAAAAGCCATAACAGAGGATGATAAATCCATGGCTCGTGTGTGGTAAGAGAAACAGTGCTGATGTGCTGATCTTGGAGCATTGTACGGTTTAGCTTTTTCTTAGAAATGTATTGAAAATACATTAAAGTGTATTTAAATATAAAACATTTTTGTGTGGATGGGTTATAACCTCAGTCAGGTTTTTCTTGCTGTCTGTGTGCTCATTAGGGAAATTGATACTTTTTATTTCTCTTGGTGACCACTCTGGGATTTAAAGAGGGAAAATCAAATATTTTGAGTTGTCATCAGAACAGCAATAAACGGGAAATCTTCTAATAGGGACACTTGTTCAGGTGACAAGAGTGATTTTTCCTCACTTTAGAGAAATTTCCTCTCACCCAGTTACATCTATAGGGCAGGAAGTGAAGAGAAAACTCCCGTATGGGTTGCAGATGGCAACAAATCTAAAAGAGGTTTAACTAATAACTACTTTATCCAAAATGAAAAAGAACATTTTGGCTTTACATATACTTTAGCTGGATATAGTCAAATAAGCCAGTAACTGTAGTGGCTGTAGGGTGTTCCTAGAGGAGGCCAAGGACGAGGAATCTCCTCTTTGTCTCATTCAAGAGCGGTTTCAGCAGCTCCTTCAACACTGAAAAAACAGAACAAGTAAACAGAAGGAACATTACATCGAGGATCCTCCTGCATCCAGGATGTCCTGCATCCAAACTAAATGAGATACCTTATTAGCCTACAGGGTTAAAGAAATCAATTGGTGCCCCAACAATGGGCTACACTAACACTGCATAGGTGATATAATCCTACACTGTGAACCTTTCAAAAAGGCTAAAGTTAAATAACAAACTTTACTTTTATCTTAACTATGTAAGAAATGTAAAATACCCTGTAAACATCTATGAAGATTTACTAACAAATGCAAATCTCAATTACCTTGAGGGCTCCAATGACTGTAGTGGTAAGAGCTGAGTTGTAGTAACTGCAGAGCACTATTGCATATACCAATAAAAATCTGAGGGGGAAAAAAAAAAAAAATCAACAAAATCTGGAAGGAAAATTAATATAATGTCTCCTGCTCCTCCTGGAGCATTTACTAAATACCTCCCAGTTTGAAAGGCCATACCCAGATTGTCATAGGAACAGTGGTCATCTTTGATACAACTGCATCCAAGCCAAATGACACTGGGGGATCTTCTTATGCCTTACTTCTCTTTCAGCCAAGGCCAGTTTTCCCTCCCCAGTTTTATGTAACAGTTTGGCCTGTGGTTTCTCCACGTCTTAGTTGTCAATCTTTAAAATGTCTAGAAAATACCTGTGGCAGCCCCACACATGCCCAAAATATCAAACACCAGTAGTCTACTAAGACATTCCTATTCTTAGCTCTCCTTAGCAGCCACTATTAAAGAGCAGATTTAGTTTTTTCTTTGAGTGGTCAACAGTTTTCAAGACATTTCTGTAAAAGAAATGGGGAAATCCATACAACAACCTTAATTTAAATTGCATTTTATTTCAAAAGGAAATGTCCCAGACATCTGACCTGTCCATGAAAGTAAACAACCTTGTCACGCTTTTTTTACACTGCATTGACAACTTGACATCTAATCATTTAACTGGGCATCATGCTGTGATACCAGATTTCAACAGCATGCAAAACAGATATTTGTGATTCCTGGTTTTAAAACAGAAGTACAGTCAACCCTTTTTTTTGCCTTTGTCTCTTCTTTAGGTCACAGATGTACACCTGTTAATGTACGTTTGTGACCTAACTTAACAGATAGCTGAGCCGCGCCGCAGGTGGGAAGGATCCTGACAATATTGTTGGGAGGGGATCTACCCTGGCTCTCTAAGTGACAGCTGGCTCTGCCTCTCTGTACATAGCTGAGAGCCAGTGCCAGCTGTTCCCACCCCCTCCCCTGCCTGTTCCTCCAAATGAACACTGGAAGAACGGAGAGGCAAGGGGCAATTCCTGTTGGAAGCAGTGACTGACAGTCATTGCTTTTTGGTTTTTCTGCACAAAGCACATTTGGTAAAACTTTTGATTGTGTTTAGCACACTTCCACAGCAGCTTTAGATAGGGTATAGAAGTCCAGTAGAGCTTGATGTATGCTTGATCCAGTATAACTGTGCATGTTTTCCATGGTTTACAACTAGGTTTATATTACATGTGCATTTCACCCTAAAATATCTAATACAGTTTTTTGGGCTACACTGTGTATAGGATGTGAGGACACTGAGTGACATACCAACATTATAGTGGATGAGGAGACAGGCAGGAGGGAGCGCTGTCACAGCTGGCTTGGGTTTGGGTGAGTATAACATTTTTATTTTTGAACCTAGACAAAAATGAGCACTGAACTGTTGCAGTGCAGGGGTAGCCCCACTGCAAGGGTTTAGAAAAGTTCTACATGGAGTTGTTCTTTAAGCGTTCACCTACACTCAGCCTAAGTCTTTGATTCAGCTCATCTGTCCCCATGGAGCCTTTTGGATTTCATACCCAGGCGGTACACAGGTCTTTGACTCCAGTTCAATCCTACAGTAAGCCTTGCTCCTTCACTGTGCTAAGCCAAAACCCGTCATTCAACTATCAAATGCTAAACCCTCAAGGCCATGTAATTAAGATATCATATTTTATGGATATACTGTATGTGCTTATATTTCCTTAGGTTGGTTTAGAAGAAAAGAAAAACAGAGTCAGTCTCCCTTGACATTGTTTACATATACACTGATTGTATTGCAAAATTTTTAGGTTTGGAGGTATATGTTAAAGTATATTACATGGCACATGGTAAAACAGAGCTTACTTTGAATATTCCAGCATAAACTATGGAACAGATCCAAGAATGCCATGTAGCGCCATGAGCAATGAGGAGAAATGGCACATACATATGCAACTTACCCCATGGAACAGGAAAGGAGGAATTGGAAAGCAAAGTAAATGTTTGTCCACTCAGTATACTGTGTAGCCTACAAAAAATAAGCATTAATATATTACTCAAGGGAATAGCAATGTAATTTTATTTATAAACTGGTGGGCAGATACACATGCCTTTTGTCAGGAAATTTACAGTTATGGTGGCCATACACCTTACAACCATCGCACGACTTTCGTTGTGCAATGGTTGTAAGGTGATTAAAAGTTTGTATGACCTGCCCATCTTGGACAGGCAGATCGTACTTGCGATTATCACAAGTCCTCCTCGCTGAGGGGAGGGCTTGCAGATGAGTGTAATGGTGAGCAGGCAGTGTGCGCTTGTGCACCTCGGGCCGTGCGGCCTTCGTCTTGTGATCGCGCTACCAACCCGCCTAAAATCATACGATTTTCGGCGGGTTTTCTAGCGTGCTCGTTATACGCAAATCGTGAAACCGTACTGTAAATGCGGTCGCACGCTGCCCATCAACCTTACGATTATCGTATGATCGCGGGATCACCCGCGATTATCGTACGATAATCGTCAGGTGTATGGGCACCTTTACCCACAAGGGTTTCTCCACCAGGTACTAAGTCATGTTTTGCATGGGGATCAAATACTAATTTTACTCACTGAACTGCAACTCAAATTTATAACATTTGTATTATGTGTTTTTTCTGGATTTTTGGTTGATATTCTGTCTCTATCAATTAAAATACACCTATGATAAAAATTATAGACCGTTCATTTCTTTGTAAGTGGGCAAACTTACAAAATTTGCAGGGGATCAAATCATTATTTTCCTCACTGTAGCTTATAACTGAGCATATTAAAAAGAGGAGAGAGAACACTCATTTTCAGTCACAGATCATTATGTACCATTTACCCCTTGTATAAAATAAATAAATAATGGTATTACAAAGTATTACCACTAGCAGAACTAATGGGGTCGAAGCGGTCACATTTGCGACCGGGCCCTGGCATTCCGCCACTTGGGGGGGGGGGGTCCATTTTTTTTTTCTACATTTAGCCCTGCTTCGGACAAGCAGGGCTAAATATAAAAGCAGAGGAGCCATTTTAAACGAGATATTATACAGCCACTGAAATCACCTGTATGCAGGCCTGCTTGTGACTTGTCCGGCCCACCTCCATGGTCTGCCCCTCCTCCGGTTTCCTTCTTTCTCTGCCGTGGTTTTCGAGGTCCCCTGCTGTCAGGAACCGGATCTGAACCCAGAGCCTCTGGTGTAGCTGGCAGTGGTTCTACATGCGGAGCCACCTAAGAACCTTCGATAGCTCCTTGCCTGATCTCCTGTGTAATCCTCAGTTATACCTAATCTCTGCTGAACTCTGAACTCCATGCTCCTCCCTTGAACTTCCTATTTAAGCCATGGCTTTGCACTTAGTCTTTGCCAGATTATTGTGCTCCTGCCAGTATCTTGCTTCCTTGCTCCTGTGATACAATCCTCTTATACTGCTACCCGTGTACCGACCTTTGGCTGCTGATTCACCGACTACTCTCATCGTCTTCTGCTTCATACTCGATACCTTTGGCTGCTGACCTCGGCTTGTTCACTGACTACGCTTCTGCCTGCTCCTATACTTCTACCGTCTGCTTGTGTACCAAACCCGGTCTGTTATACCACAAATTTGCCTGCTGTTTCAGCTACTGGACTCTGAGCCTGATCCCAGATCGTGACACCTGCTCTTCTGGGGGACCCCTGACCACGGCAAGGCAGTTTAGGATGGAGAGCGGGGAGCAAAGTGGAGAACCTCTGTTCTTTGCTCCGTGATCAGTGAAACAGGATCGTTGTACTCGCAGCCCTCCTGTGTCTGCTGTCACAACCTAAGCTGTACAGAAGATAGAGCACATGTGTGCTCTATCTTCTTTATTGGAGGGCAGGCTCATAAAGAGAGCCTGTCACCTCTGAATGCTACCACCCAGGGGCTTCTTAGCCCCTGGGTGATAGCAATAAAGTTAAGTGAAAAAAAGTATAAAATTAAATAAAAATAGAAAAATTAAAAATTTATAAAATGTAAGAAATAAAAATGTAGTAAAAAAATAAAAAAATAAAAATGAAAAAGAAAATTAAAAATTGATAAAAGTAAAAAATAATAAAATAAAAATTAATAATAATAATAAATCCGCACAGCCCAACCTGTATGGGGT